GAGTGAGAGTGAGGTGGTTGCAGCGCCGTGCAGGTGGGGAGGGAGGTAGGGCTGCACCTCAGTCCTTGGGCTGCCCCGGCTGCGGGCCTGCTGCGTGTTTGAGGGGGGTCACAGCCCTCCAGATGCGGTGAGCTCGCCAAACTCTGGTGAGTGCGGGATCAACCTGTAATCCCTTTGGCTGGCAGAGGTGTTTTGCACCTCAGATGCCAGCCTGGGTTCTCTCCTTGTGTTTCATAAGCACTGCCAGTCTGTGAGAGCTGCTCGGTGTGAGCGTTAGCACACCTACCAGCAAGTCTGGTAATGGTAGAGTTGCCTGCACTTGGACGGAAATCTGCCTGATAAGCCATCGTAAAACCTTTGGTACTTCACTGCAGTCTAAAGGCCCTCCATGCTCATCGCTGTGTGGATGTAGGCGTATTAAAACAATACGTGGCATTGGAAGGGATCTGGGATCGTATGCGTGCTAAAGGTACCCTTGGTCATGTAGTAGACCTCCGTGCACTTTAATCAAGGAGCCAAAATCAGACAAGGTTGATTTAATTGTCCGTATGGATGTGCTTGGTTACAGTAGCTGGTGTAATTAGCAGTACTAATGCACTGAGCGTGGAGGGCCCTTGATCCAGTCAAAGCTGGGTTAGGCAAGAGACGTGTCAGTGGAAATTAAGTGTCTCATTGAAGGATGTGGAGCTGGTGTTCCACCAGAAAGTCTCCGGTGGTCTGTATGCCTAAAACAATTTACTTCTCTAAGAGAAAGGCAGTACTTCTCTAGGATTTAATGTGCCCCTGTCCTATGCAAGCCTAATAGGTGATTATTTTAGTTAATAAATTACTGACATAAGTTCCAAACCGGGTTTAGATCAGACTGTGTATTATACTTGGAAGGCAATTGCCCCTTTTGGTTTTCCTTAGGGTTTAACTCTAAGATCCGTATCTACTCCAGAGACATCAGTCTCCTTTATGCAGATGGAGGGTGTTGAGTGCATTGTTAGTGTAATCAAGTTAAATTCAGAAACTCCATTTATTTTAAAGATCTGTTTCTTCCAGTTTAGACCCAGCAAAGAACTTGTGTTTTTGAAAACTTGCTGGGTTTTTTGATGTACGTGAAATTTAATAACACATTTCCTTCTGGTTTTGCTTATATCTGTAGTAACTGTATAGCTATGAGAGCCTACTACGGGAGATGTCAATATTGGCTCTAGAAAAATGTTCCTGTGCTGTTTTGATAGTTCTTCTGTTTCTTATCAGTGTTGCTGCCTTTCATCTGTGCCAGAACCTTTGCACACATTTTAAAGGGAATGAAGAACAGAAAACATTCCCCTTATGACTCCTCTTCTTCAGAAAGAAGAACTTGTTTCCCTACGCACTATGTTTTTGACAAATATTTTTTCTATTATTGGCATAGTTTTAAGATGTCCTAATGTTTCTGCCAGAAAACTTTCTGAAATAACCTGCTTTGCTCTAGCAGTGGCCTTTCCCTTTGTGGACTGGCCTCATTTCCTGTGGACAAAACCTGAGACTCATGATAAGACACGTGTGTCCGCATGCTGAATTTCATGCACTTTGCTCAGAGTAGCAGAGATCCGAGTAACTTATCTCTTGGCACTTGTCAAACACGATTACCTGTACACACAGATAGCAATGTTAAATAGGAGATGTGTCCAAACCAGGCACGTAGTGCTGAAGGTTGAAGTGTCATCTCCAGCGTGCTCTGCTTTTACTTAAGAAGGAAGATACTAATCCTTCGTACCTTAGTTAGTCAAAGATTACAACCTGCTTTGACCAAGGGTGCGTTTCTTGCATAGCATTCGTATACTGGGAAACACACAGCATTCTTTCGAGGGCTTAAACGCCTGCTCGGTGTCAGCACGATGGTGATGAGTCAAGACTGTGAAGTTAAACGTGTACCTGAGAGGGTGCGATTCAAGCCCGTGCTGTTTGCTTAATACAGGGAGGTGAAGAGAAGAAAGTCAACAGCTTTACAGTGCATTAGTAAACAAAACACTGTTCAGTTGCAATAGCAGCCGCTCCTCAGTGGTGGTACTGGTAGTTGAAAAGCTAGTAGTGACAGCCAGTGATTTACCTGGCGTGTTTGGGAGATTTGTAGGCAGGTCGTGTTCTGAAGCTCCTTGTGCTGGCAGTTTTTCAGCAGGGTTGAGATTGTGACTTGGTCTGCATGGGATCTGATGACAAGGGGTGCCTGCAAAGAAAAAAAGCCATGGTCCTAAAAGGAGAATTTTTCCCTGACCTAAAGTACTAGCTGGCGAGCGCTAAAGCCGTTTGATCAAGCCGTTGATGTAACGGGCATGCATTTCTGCTTCAGATGCTCAAGGGGCAGCTATCGCTTTTGATTCTCATTTTTGAGTCCACATTCTGTCAGAGCAGAGGTGGAAACCCGTGACGGGAGGGGCATTTCTAAAGCAGATGAGGGCAAGCGTTTCCTGCCTCTGCCAGAAGGTAAAGGAAGGGTGTGCTGTGTTCTGGAGGAGAGCAGGAGCAACCTGGAGATGATGCAGGAACAGGACAAATGGGTCAGATGGGCAGGTGTAAGCCTGTTTTCTGGTTTGGTTTTTTTTGTTTTTTTTTTTTTAAACAGTGCTCAGAAGCAGGCTAGAGAAAATATTTAGAATGGAACTGAAAATGCTTCTCAATCTGGAAATACTGATGCTTGCATTTTCTCTCTTTTTGATTTATTCTATCCGGTAAACATTTTCTTTTATCAGATATCTGAAGAAATAGCCTCAAGATGAACTTCTTCCTGGAAACGTTGAAAGTCATCGGACTTTCTGTGTATTACTTGCTGCAGTCGCTAGTGTTCTTGGTCGTGCCTAAACGGAAGAAGAATGTTAGTGGTGAAATAGTATTAATAACAGGAGCGGGAAGTGGCATTGGAAGACTTTTATCTTTAAAGTTTGCCAGCCTTGGAGCCACAGTGGTTCTTTGGGACATTAACCAAGAGGGGCTCAAGGAGACAAGTCAACTGGCCAGAAAGAACGGAGCAGTGAGAGTACACTGTTACGTCTGCGACTGCAGCAAAAGGCAGGACGTCTACAGAGTAGCTGATCAGGTACAGTACCTTATTTGTGGCTTTGACACTGTTCTAAGATGAGTGCGCGCGCGTGGGTGTGGTCTGTGATAAAGTTTAGTGACTTCAAAGCAAGAGATTAAAGTGAATTCATTCAGAATGTATGGCACATGCTACCGATTTCAAGAATGCTGGTTTTTTAGAGTTGACTTGTGTACCTCTGTTCCTTTAAAAAGAGCTGATTCTCTTTTTCAGTAGCTTCTCCTTCATTCATTGACTGAGCAAGCACTTACCGGTGAAGTGCAGAAAATCAGTTTATTGAAGCTAAAGCAGTATTTCAAGTTCTGGCAGCTTTTTACCAAAAGTAAACCCTAAAGGCCATACACTGTGAAAAGGATTAACTGCTTAGGTGGTTTTGAAAAAAATTCCATGGCTGTGAATAGATTTTTGCAGACTTACATTTATTAATTCCGATAAAGCATCTCAAAGTCTTAAGTATTTCTTACTTTTCCTTTCTGAAGAGCTTTGTGAATGTAGCATGTGGTTAGATATTTTGGGCAGACTAGTAGAATTGCCAAAAGCTAAAATTGCTTAAAAGTTTCCATTATAATGACCTGTTCTCATTTGTTTAAAATGTTGCTAAACTTAACTGTTGGACTAGAGAGTTTTCCGCAGTGAGTGTTTGCCTGACGATGAATTCTTTAAAAAAAATTAAATTTAAAAAAAATTCAGCTGTCTTCAGGAACATCTGTTGGTTGAAATAATGTTCCTCTTTTGGTGCTGTTCAAGAGCTCCTGGAACAAACTTTCTGATAAGTGAAGCTTGTACATGACTTGTGGCTTGCTGGAGGCTGGTGCTGTTGGGTTTGTACCCCGGTGATGCCAATCGGCCCCGGTCCCCCTTGCAGCTCAGTTACGGCAGCAGTTGCACGTGTTTTGCCACAGGCCTGTAACTGTGCTTCCCGCTGAACTGGGAGGAGGAGGAGGGAGTGTTGTAGTGTGAAGGACACTGGAATGAAGAAGCTGGAAACTAACCCTCAGTTTTGAGGACTCAAGGGCTAGCGCTTCAGTCCCACGGAGAAAAGCAGTAGCAAAGCAAAACAAAGAAGAGAGTGTAGATACGTGTGTGACACAGGGTAGGGATGACACAAGCAGGTAGGCAGGAGCGAAGGAGCAGCCAGGGGGTCTCGGTGCCTGATTCCTCACTTACAACCTTCTGTCAGCACTTCACTAACAGCAGATCCACTAATAATCCTTCTGCTGATCCACATGGAAGAAAATACCCTACTGCCTGCGGATGTTTTCTGTAGAACCATGCTGACAACTTTCCCATCTTATTATGGACAGAAAGGCTTTAGTGTTGGTGCTTGGTGTTGCTCTCTATTTAATGCAGCGTAGTAGGCTTTGGCTCATAGTGTTCTCGTCAGCCTTTGCGCCGTGAGGCAGCACAGTTCCAGATTTTGGGGTTTTTCCCCCTGGTGATTCAGCTTCATGCAATGACTCTGAGTTTTGCAAGACTATAGCAAACTGAATTCATGCAGGCAGGGCAGGATATGGTTGAAAACTTTGTGCCCAGTAAAACAATCTCAAAGCTAAAATGAAATGTATGTGAACCTCAAATACCTGCTTCTGGTACTTCACCAGCCGTGCAGAGACCAGGAGAAAGTCACCTCAGTGGGAAGAAAACCAAAAAGCCCTGCACATGGGGTGTTGTTGTTCCTTTCCTGTACCAACAAGATGAGGGACAGCTTTTGGCTACCAAGAGCTATAGCTTGAAATTAATGTCCCTGTTCCAGAAGTACCCAAGCCCAAAAGGAATGTGGCCTTCTCTGACCTACCCCATCCCTCCCTCGAGCTAAACTTTAAGAATCAAGGGCTTTGAAAGAGGGAGGTAACGCTATGGGTTTTGATCCTCCTACTTGTGAGGAAATGGAAGCCTTTTCCTCATCATGTTGCAAAATTGCCTGTCAACCCACATTCACTTCTAGGATCTCTCTTGCATGGTACTTTTTTGCTTGCCCACTGTTTGTTTTTCTTGCTTGTTAGTCAAGGCGACAGTTTACGGCCAGTTTTCCGCTTTTCTGAGAATCCTTTTCCCTGTGCAGAGGAGCAACAGCAGAAGCACATCTCCTGGTGGTATTTCATCCTGCCTATGAAACATCCAGTGCTTTCTTCCACCTCTTGTAGGCAGTTAGGGAGGGGTTTGTGGTTCTTAGAAAGCAGACACTGCAGGTTGCTTTTTGGGAATCGTGGGAATTGCTCACTACTAAACTTCAATATAAAGGCATAAATGTAAATGCAGAAACCAACAGGCAATAGTATTTGTACCTGAAAAGGACGTTTAACCAGAACAGCTGTTTGCACAATTCTTGCCTTATTAGGCCTAAACACCTAGAACATGCTTTCCTGCACTGCACAAATGGAGAGGTTTAGAGCTCTGGAAAGTTGAGGTTATCTCCCACACACACTTAATAGCTGGGGAAAAGACTTGGTAAAGGTCTTCTGTACTTGGCCTCAAAGCAGAGTGTGGAAGCCTGGGCTGAGTGTCTTGGCTCTGTCCTGCACAGGGGAGAGCTGAGAGGAGAAGGGAACTAAAATGAGGAGAAGGGCCAATTCGCTGGGGAAAGAGCTGCTGTATTTAGGTAGCAGGGGTGTTGTAAAGCTGGAATTATTTGTCTGGGTTGCAAGAAGGCCACTCGAATGTGCTTTGAATTCCATCCAAAGTGTGACTATGTTTTGGAAGACTGAGACAGGTGGTAGAGGAGGAGGTTGTTTAGATTTTTGCCACTGGTTAGAAGTGGGGTGATCAAGGTTCTATTCTTATTTCCCTTCTGCCATCTAACCGGAATGCCCTGATCACCGAGTTATAAACTGTGTTGTACCACATCCCCCACCTCTGTCTGTCTTTTGTTGGCACAAACCTGACCATTTATTCAGGTATTTGTTATTTGCCCCAAAGGGTAGATTTGGGGTACTGGTCCAGGCTTCCAGACTTGCTAGATCATCTGACATCAGGCAGTATCAAGGCATCATTTACCAATGATTATGTCTCTGAATTCATACTGTTTTTAACTTGTGATGAGGGCTACACGCTCGGGTTGGTGACTAGAACGACTTGTGTAAGGCTGCCTGTGGAGATCATGTGGCGCTGGTTCATTAGACAACAACCTTTTGAGAGGGGGACAGACAGACAAGAGCGTGTGAGCAATGACCGAGGTGGAGAGGGGCTCTGGCTGATGAATTGATTATAAAAGTAGTTCTGCACTGAATATTTTCATTCTCCTTTTGAGAGCTGGCACGATACCTTGCTATCAGCTGGCCTGTAGTTGCTCTCTCAAGTGAGTCTGTTCATGAAAGTTCTCAGTCTGGAGCTAAAATGAGAACTGTACTTTGTCTTACTGAACTAAATGTGTAGGAACAATTCTTTAACCAACCTTCTGGGAACCATCTTAGAAGGATTCCGCTACAGGGTTAGAATTGAAGCAACTACACTAGAAACGAACTTCTGCACCGTGAGCCCCAGAAGCTCAGAAGGCTTTTGCCCTCTGTGAATGCACGTGTCCTAAAACCTTCCTTTATTCAGAACCCTACAACTTCTGTTTAACTTTCATGACGAACTGCTACCCTTCCTGCTGTCTTCTCATTCCCGGTGTCCTCAGAGCCAGTATCGGTGGAGACATGCTGTTCTTTCAGGCTGTCTTTGTGAGAGATAAACTTGTAAAAAAAAAAAAACAAAAAAACACAAACCCTTTTTTGCTTGGTAAGATAAGCCCTTAAGTTCCTGACCTGTAAAGTTGCTTGAAGTTATTCAAGATACTTGAATAGATGAAAAGGTTGTAAGGAGGAAATTAATTTTACAGGTGGTCTTTCTCACTGCCAAGGCATATGAGGAATACTTCTTATCAGAAGTGACTGTTTGCCCTTTCTAATTCCAACAGACTGAGGGCAGAGAGCTCCATCTGCTCCCCCAGAGAGCTGTAGGGAAGTCGGGGTTAATGCATGTGCTGTGGGATGCGAGTAAAGTTACCGCTGGTGGGAGACTACTGTGTAATAACATGTTCGTGCGTAACGGTTGCAGTCAGGAGAGGGGGAACGTGTGGAAAACAGCACAAAGGACTCTTGAAATATCTGAAATATCAAGATGCTGCTAAGTAGCTGCTGCCCTGTGCAGTGGGAGAGGTGAATCCCTGGGCTGTTAGGATGCAGGCAGTTCACGCCACCAACGGAGAATCCAATTTTCCTTCTGCTCATCCACCTGAGGTGTTTGGATCTGTAAAAAGCATAAATTCAACTTAGTTGAAATGTGCAGTATTTCTGTTTCTTATGTCTTCACACGTAAGACTTGGATAGCATGTTTTGTATTTATTGCATAATATCTTGAGGCTTTTTGTTTCAGGTTAAAAAAGAAGTTGGCGACGTTAGCATCCTGGTCAACAACGCTGGTATTGTAACTGGGAAGAGCTTTATTGATTCTCCAGATTCACTTGTGGAAAAAACCATGGAAGTGAACCTAATGGCACACTTCTGGGTAATGCCTGTACTTTGCATATACGTACTGAAACATCCTTTTAACATGTTTTCAGTGTTAGTTTTGCTTTTTGGAATTGAAGAAGGTATGCAAGGATATATAGCTCCTTCTAAGTTCAGTCAGAAATGATACAAGGAATCACTTTCTATGCCTGGGAGTCTGTAAAATGAAAAGAAAGGCTGGAAGAATGGATCCTTTGGGAACTTCTGGTGTAGGCAGGGGGAAGCAGAACTGCTTCATATTGAGGAATGCTCTTAAGAACTGAACTTTACCATCTGCTAAATTCAGCAGCTGGTTATATGTTATAATCCCGCGGTATTAAGTGATGTGAAGCAGGCCCAGTCTAAAAGTTGCTGCTTTAGCAACAGAGAAGTGTTTGATTCTCTTACTGCTGTAGTTGCTTTGTGGTTATGATAGTTTCAGTAAGAAATGCCATGTGTTCAGTCAATGCTGTTAATAATAAGGGGGGCTTTCATCCAAAACGAGTAGCTTAATGTGCTTTTTCCTCCTTCCAGGGAAGGCAGGTCATCCCTGTGGTGTTCCTATCATAAAAAATTGCAAAGGGGATATTAGAACATGCCTCAGTTTCTTCAGAAAGAAATTTAATCACAAAGATTAAATTAATTTAAGAGAAGGAAGACACAAAATTCAAATTTTTGCCATTTTACCAAATTTGCAGCGAGCACTTAGTTCTCATTTGGAACATTGCAGGGCTGAACTTTAGGCTGAAAGAAACGTAACAGCTAGCTGAAGCTGTATCTTCAGCTTCCAGCAAGTTACCATCTGTCTTTGGTGTTGAGAAGAAAGTGGTACCGGTGGGGCCTGGAAGGTCCCAGTTTAGTAGCTGAAGGTTAGAGTTCAAACAATAAACTCCTCTTTTTATTTTTTCTCCCCTCCCCTCTCTTCCATAATGGATGGGGGGGAAGCTTATTTAAACCATAGGGAGAATTTCTTGACAAACACCACCTTCAAACTATTATAGCACGTCACTTACTTGGTGAAATGGTTCATTGCAACTCTGGCTTCCCTTGCAGACTTACAAAGCCTTCCTCCCAGCGATGATAGCCTCCAACCACGGGCACTTGGTTAGTATTGCAAGCTCAGCGGGACTGGTGGGAGTCAATCGACTTTCAGGTAGTGTATGAAAGCTAATGTTCATGTAAACAATTAGGTTTTATTTAAACTCTGCTATCAATGTGCATGGAAAAAATTGTCACTTTGAGTTTCTGTATCTTTGCATATCAGTAAAGCAAATGGTTGTCCCCGTGTGGTACAGAGGCAGAGGCGTGGTATCGCACTTTGCGTTCTCTCTGTCTCTCAGCCACTCATTCGAGAGGACCCACGCAGTGATGGAAAGAGAGTGTTGAGATTAGGGCAAACTCAGGAGGCATTTCTGGAAAACGTCTGCAGAGCGGGAGGAAAATGGAATAAGGTGATGTAGCAGTCAAAGCCAGTCTTGAGCAACAGTTAATTTAGGAGAGGGAAAGAAAAGGGGAGAATTGCATCAAAGGCAAATTTTATTAGAAACCTAATCCTGAAAATGTTCCTACTCTGTTGTAAAGTATTTTATTGTTGGACAGTAATTTCCTGCAGGTGCTGGGTATATATCATCTCTATAATGATATATATATCATTTCCATACTGTAGTGCTGCTGTCATATACTCTAAAAAAAACAAAGCCAAAAAGCCCCCGGCTAGTTAGTTTACTTGCCAGCACATAATCATGTCCCTGTTCTCTGTCAAAAACTGTCACTGCTCCTGTGTACATGTGCAGTGGTAGGACTCACTGAACCTGTTTAGTAAAGTTTAAATAGTAAATTAAAAGGTTTAACCGCAGTTAATGTGGTTTGTTTGGTTTTTTTCTTTTACAGATTACTGTGCAAGTAAATTTGCAGCAGTTGGTTTCGCAGAGTCAGTTGATTTAGAGATGAGAGATGTGGGAAAGACTGGTGTTAAAACCACGATTGTGTGTCCTTACTTCATAAACACAGGCATGTTCGATGGCTGTAGAACCATGTGAGTAAACTCTTGGTACTTCACTATCCATTATCCAAGCTGAAACGTGGAAGGTAATTGGTGTCCTTTCCTCTGCAGAAGCCGAATGTCCAGTTGTCCTGTCTGGTTTCTAACCCCCCATTCACCTCCTGAAATCAGTGGCGTAGCTTTGCTTGGTATCTTGTATAATGACAAAATTTCGGAACCAAATAAAAGGCCAATATGTCTTAATACGAGCACTGTGTGGATTTGTCTTGTGAGAGATCACACGAAGGGGAAGTAACGATGGCCACTCGCTTGGTAACATAACGAAGGTTCTGTTGTTCACAGGATTTGTCGTAGTAGTTTTTTCTTTTAGTGGAATAACTGTGAAATGGAGACTTCTTTTGAGTAAAATGGGAATCCAAAGCAATTTGTATTACACTAAGAAATGTCTTCTCTTCCAGTTGGCCAACTCTGCTTCCCACTCTGGAGCCAGAGTATGTGGCTGAGAAGATAATCACTGCTATTCGGCGGGATCAAGAAATACTGGTGCTACCACGCAGTCTTTCTTTCATATTAGCTTGGAAAAAGTAAGTTACGCCTTTTCCTTCTTTTCCTCGCTCTCCTTACCGCCCAGGGATGTCCCAGCTATGTGTTTGACTAAAAGTGCAAACTGGGCTTCTGCTTGTTGGTGTGAATTTGGTGTGAATCCCTGAAGTCCTGCACACGCCTGGAGTTGTCTTTTCTTCATTTCTAGGGGTTTAGTCCACCCTTGGACCACAGGACAATGACAGAAATGTCTAACTGACTCGCTGACTCTGTTGGGTCACAGTTTTACTGTGGGCTGTGGAAACTGGGCTGGCTCCTCAGAAACTGCCTAGCTGGTGTCTTGCCCCAGCAATAGGGCTCTTCTGTTGCAAGCCAGGTTGGGGGATTGATAGGCCTAATAGCTCAGGCTGCTAAATGAGCGTAACGGATATTTTGAGAGGACTTGTGGCGCTATAATCTAGAGAGAGTGGTGTCTCTGCCAGTAATAGCCAGGTAAAACCGTTCTGTGCTTGAACCACAGAACTCTTGTGATGTCTGTTTTGTTTTCCTTCTCTTTTTCTCCAACCCCCTACCCTACAGCATCCTACCAGTGAAAGTGAGGGTTCTCTTTTTGAACTATCTGGGAGTCTTCCGTGTCATGGATAGCTTCAAAGGTCGAGCAAGGAAAGACTGAAAAAGCGCAAAATTCAGAGACCAGCAGCTCCGAAGTGGACCTTGATATAACTGGTGGGGGAAGTGCCTGCTTCTCTGGCACCTGAGAGCTTGAGGTGCCTGACCTCTCAGTAGTTACAGCTGTTAAGGAAACTGCTTTTGCATTGGCTCTTAATCAACAGCTTTCACTCAAACTTTTTTTTTTTTAATCCAGTGAACTGTTTTCTTTTCACCTCATTATGGAAATACACGAATTGAAATGAGTTCCTTTTGTTGTGTCTGTTATAATGCCTTAAATATGATCCTGCATCACAAACTAATAATTGACAGCTCTCAGAGGAGAAGGCACCGAGAAACCACGTGTATTCGGCAGGGAGCCAGGAAAGCCTCAAGTGGACCTGACTTCTCGCTGCCATGGCCAAACCGCAAGGACGGGCTGTGCTGCTGGTGCCATTCCCATTCCCTGGTAAGCTGAGGAACTCCAGAGCTTCCTGAAACAACAGCTTCGAATTTATACGAAGGGAGGTTTTCTGGAATGAAAGTATGTGCTGTGTCGGTGCAAAACCGATGAAATACGTTGATTTTTGGAGCTGGTGATCTCGGCGCTCAGAGATGACTGTGGATGTCAGGGTGGGGAGGGGGGGCATGTAAATGATGTATTTGTGCTGTTAATCTACTTCTTGTCGAATTTATTTTAAAAGCTAATACTATGACTGCAACTATGTAGTAGAAATCTTTGTATCTTCTAAGTGCAATTTCTTAAGAACAATTTAAAACGTTCATCTCTTAAACAGAATAAAGTTAAAGCATAAGACTACCAGCCTAGGCGTGCTCTCCAGCCTCCCGCCAAGTGAGACAGTGGGCTACTGAAAGCGATGGTATGGCGGGGTGTAATCAGGGCTTCTCAGGATTATTCCGGGAAGGAATGATGCTGATGGAACCAGGGTGAACGGGATCATTACAGCCGCAGCTTGAGTCACAGCGTCACGTTTTGCTTCTCTGAATGGGGTGGCAGGTTGCCTTGTGTCTGCAGAGGCTCATTTAACTTTCCCTTTACTCTCAGGACTATCCATTTATTTTGGACACATGCTGAGGGGGCCTTGCCCTTTTTGACAATGGCAGCTTAAAAAACTGAAAGCTCCCTTGCCTTTTGGTAAATCCCAAACAAGAAGGAAGATACCTTAAGTGCATGTTACTGATGCACATGCTGGCTGAGCCACCCTCATGTCACAGTGCTCTACTGGCAGTTGGTAACACCTGCAAACAAAGTCTAAAGTGCTTTAGCATGCAACTATTTGAAGGACAGTAGGGAGAAAAGGGTGATTTTTTTTTTTAAAATGTTTTTTTTTCCCCATGATAGGCTAGAAACTGCCTTCATTTCCCTTGTCTATACATTGGTGAGGTTTCCCAGCAGAGCAAGGTTTACACAGAACTGCTTTACTACGTATGAGCAAGAAACACCAAGTAAAACAAGCGTGTTACAAATAGCCTCGCCTTTATGATGGATTGATGAGAGTTCCAATTCAGACTGATGAAGAAAAGATTTGCCTTGCTGTCCTTTCAGATCTGCAGCTTTTCCACCTCACAAATTCTGCTTATTTTACAGTACGCTTCAGGAAATGAAAGTTACTAATTAAAAAACAGATCTTGCCTAAATATGTGGACATTTCATTGTTCACAGTCAGCCACTAATAACCGCAGTCTACCTGTGTCTTGCAGACTCCTCACTTTTCAATACTAACAGAGCACATTTTCCCTCCTAACTAGGAAATGCTAGGTGTGCAAAGGAGAAGTGGATTATGCAGATGAACAGTATGGGTCAAACCCCAGCTCTCGTAGAGCAAGTAGCTTTTCATCCTTAGTGTCTCTGCACTGGGGGAAATTGAAAGCGATAAGCCTGGCTGTGGGATTTGTGGATTCTCAGTGAGTTCAGGTTGGTTGCACCACTAGGAGGATCTTACCTGATAATCTGTGCCAGAGAAGTACATCTCCATAGGGCTTCTGCAGCTTCACAGGATCATTGAGCTTGGAAAGGACCAAGAGCAAGGTCAGTTGCAGCAGGTTGCTCAGTACTGCGTCCAGTCAAGTTCTGAATCTCTCTAAGGCCGGAGACTCTACAACCTCTCTGGGCAACCTGTTCCAGCGTTTGTTCACACTCAGTTTGAAAACAAATAAATGAAAGTTATACTCAAATTGAATGTACTTTTTTCCAATTTGTGCCCGTTGCCTCCTGTCCTTTCAGTAGATACCACCAAGAGTCTGGCTCTGTGTTACACCTTCCCATCAGGAACTTATGCACGTTGAGCCTGAGCCTTTTCTTTTCTAGACTGAGCAGTCCCAGCTCTCTCCACCTCTCCTTGTATGACAGATGCTCCAGTAGCTTCATGGTCTTTGTGGCCCTTTGCTGGAACTCACTCCAGTATTTCATATCTTTTAGAGACCAAGTTCTATGGGAGGTTGAACGTGTGGAGTCTGTCCTACAGAGCGTCACCAGACGATCTCTGCTGGCCAGCTGTCCTGGTAGGAGTACACAAATGCGGCTTTTATGCAAGTGTGTTGCTACCACTTTGAATGTTATGGTCGCTGTCAGATTACTTTGTGTGACTGGAGGATAACAGCCTATCCTGTTGGTGGTTTTGCTCTCCCACATCTCCTGAGAGGGCACAACGGATTATGTAGAGTTGTACCCTGGACGTCAGGCAGCACAAATCCTTCCCCTGTGTTCAGGAGGTGGCGTGGAGTGAGTGTTTGGATCTGCAAGTGACATGTGAACTTCTTGACATAAACAATGGCTTACTTCCAGCATAACGATCATCTTGATTGCTTACTTTCCGGACATCAAGAAGGACTCTTTCCTCCTGCGCTCAGCAAGAAAACTCACGGAAGGATTGCTGTGAGACCCAAACAAGAAGACAGAACATGAAATGGAAGAGCATCTCAGTTGTGACAGCATCATGTCAGACAACAGCCGGGGACTGCTTTCTGAAGTACATCAGGCAGCTCCTACAGAGGAATTCTTGGGTTTATGACCATTGCTTGAAACTTTAAATAGTCTCTAACAAAATGACTGGGTCCCCAATTTGACTGGGGTGGCTGCATTGGCTTGACAGTCACCGATACAGTGATTCAAAGACAGTCCGGACCACCGTATTTTGTTGCCTGTTGTGTTTCTTTTTCCATGTGAGTTCATATTCCTGTAGCAGCAGCAGTCTTGCTGTCCTCTAATGCTTCAAAGCATGGAGAATGTAATTTTTCTTGGCACTAACTTGACCCTCTGAACAAGACTGAGAAGGAAAACAGCAACAACAACAGTAGCTGCTTGGCCGCTGGTCTGATCTCACTTCAGGAAGGAACCACACAGATACCTCTTTCCTGGTAACTTTCCTGGGGGCAGTTGGTCTGTGGAAGACACCTCTGTGGACTGCATGCTTTGCTCAGCAGCTATCCAAAACCACAGGCTTTGTAAAAATCAGTCTTTTAACAGAATAACTTAGACTCTCTGACAGTTTTTCTTTGCTGTGACAGTCAGGAGGGACAGGTTTGGATCCACAGCTATGGACTGTTCTAGGAGAATGCAGAACTACTGTCTCTGGTGAGACTTGGTGGTGTCATTGATGCTTCAAGAGGTGGGGGAGCATTGCAGCCAGTGGCTTTTGTCCACTTGGTGTGTAACACGCTTTCTCTCTAGTCCTAGGGATCTCCAGCTTGACAGATCTTATCTCTTCGTGCCAAAGCCACCAAGCTCACAGCCTGAAGTTGTGCAGGGGGCGTATACCTGAGGAAAGCATAGCTTTGTCTAGGGAGTCCCTTCAAAGGGGAGAGAGCGCTTAAACAATCACTTCACATTCAAGGAATAACATCCTGTCGTCGGCATCTTCCTAGGTTTGGAGAGAGGCAGCTGGGTTTGGTGGGGGAGAGCTACAGGTTCCCAAGTAGAAAACCACCTTCAAGAAGGTGGCTGGAGGATGGAGAAAAGCAGTGAGGAAGTTTAATTCACCAGTTCAAATGGGAGCCCACTAAATATGGGGAGGCATGCAAGAAAACAGGGAAGGGTGATACTGGGGATGACTTATTCGTTGGTATATGGTCTCCTTATGGAAGTACCAGAAGACATCCTGTTGGTCCCCAGGATTCTTGAAGGCTGGACCTGTTGCTGCTGGTTTAGGGAATCTCCTGAGCTAAAAACCATGATAGGTTAGCACGTGTCTTAGTCCCAAACAAGGTGCTTTGTGAGGAGGATAAGCAGAGGGTTAGGCACTTTGGAAATGCAGAATGTAGGACAGGAGGGGGGTGGCTGTGTCTGTGTGTGTATATATACTCATGCATACATACGTATCCTTCAGTCATACGTGTATGAAGTGTATTTGTTTGAACTCTGCCTGCACAGAGGTAAAAAGAGGTAGAGAGCAGTTGTGAGTGACGGAGCAGCATGCCCCCTTCCTGAGGCAGACAGGAAGGCTTCCAAATCCACCCCCTTTTCAAAGCCTTTTTAACTAGTTTTTGCGATTTGCTTTGCCATAGCAGGCTCGAGCTTCACACCTGAGGCCATGTGGTGACTTGCCTGCACAATGCTTTCCCTCATGGATTAAATAATCCCTTTTAAGAAGAGCAGGCATTGTATGGGGTAGCACCCTGACTGCGAAGAACCCAGACAAAGGAGAACACTGGCATGTTCACATGTTGGGGTTTTTTTATTCACCCAGCCACTAGCCTTTTTGCCATTATTTTGTGAGAACATGACACAGAAATAATGGATTTCTCAATCCGAAGGAAAAGCTGTTGCATTATTTCCACTGTGCAGGCCTGGCCTGTGTTCCCTTTTGTCCATAGACTTTTTGTTGTCTTGTATTCCAGCAGACAAAACCACAGAGATGTGCTGTGAATATTCATCTGTGTTCTCCACCTGAGTTATAGGGTGGTTTAGGTTTTGTCCTGGTTTGGGCTAAATCAGAACTG